AAAAGGAATAAACAAGTGATTACATTTGGAACATTTTGCTCTCAAGAATGGACAACTCAAGAAACATAAGTGGCTTTGAAATAAACAATAAGTTCTGATCATGAAAACCAATAGCCAAATTAACAAACTACTCATGCTAAAGAAAAAAAAACCTTTATTTCTTAAACCTGACTGTATATGTAAACCATCAAAAGTCTTGCAAACCCCAAGCAACAGAATGATCTAGTCACTGGACTCAGGTATCCCATTTTCAGCCAGAATAAGGAACTCTGATTCATAGCCCAGGCTTTGTAAGTTGCCGCACTTAACCTTTGTAAACCTGATCTTAGTTTTCTACAATTTAGAATTTTATTACTTCGAAACAAACATAAATTGAATAATGGATGCTATATCAGCATCAGGAAGGAACTTGTTCACCCTTCCTTTTGTACAGGCAATGAATCAAACATGCCATCGAACTGGTGACTAACACCAAATACCAAATTAGGAGCTACCAACTGAAACTATAGAAACACAGAATCAAGAAAAAAACATAATCTTATTTAATAGGAAAAGAGAGAGACCTCTCCAGTGTGAACAAAGCAGCTGTAGAGATAGTTCTCGTCCATCCAGTACTGCAAGTCACCGACCCAGAGCGTGCGGATCTCATCAGCCGACGCCGGCTGTGGCACCATACCCTGGGCCGGGGCAGGCGCAGGTGCCGCCTGGTACTGCATCTGGGGAGGTGGCACCTGCGCCGGAGCCTGGTACTGCGGCTGAGGCTGCGGCACGGCCTGGGGGACCGGCGGGGGCACCTGGGAGGGCTGCTGGTTCCACATCGGCGGCGCCGGGGCGGCCTGGTAGTACTGCTGCTGCGGGGGAGGAGGCGGCGGCATCATCATCCACTGCTGCGGCTGCTGCTGCTGGTCCATCTGGGGGGGCGGCACCATCGGAGGGGGCTGCACCATCCCGCCGGCAGGCTGCATCATCTTGGAAGCAAAAAGAGCGTAAAAAATAATCAAACTCCGACGCTGAGATCGAGAGATACAAGGATAAGTGGCGATCCAAGACGATCGAACCAACTTGGATAAGCCCTAACCCTAGGAAAAGGGGAGAGATTGGGGGCTAAAAAGGAGAGGGATGGGGTAAGAGAGAAGTGGAGAGAGGACCAAAAGGGAGCCCGTGAGAAGCGGCGAGGTGAGATGTATACATACAAAATAAGATAGGAATACTTGTCTGCGACTTTTACCAGTCTCACAATTGGGTTAAAATTTGGAGCCCACTTCTAACCGTGACGACACGCGAAAGAGGGTAGAAACGACGGGTACGAAGAGCGTTTCCGAGACCACGAGAAGAGGTACACTCGTGCGCGTGTCCGCATAAATGGTCCGTGCGCTTCACTCCATGTCATCATGGGCTGGGCCTCTTTGCACGAAGATTGATGCATGGAGTTTCATCTGACTTACTTCAATTTGATTCAGAGATCCTTTAATCGAGCTTGTGACCAATTCATCTCAAATCTTAATCCAATCCATCTCCAAATAAGTCAACTTCCAGTCAAGAATCAATTATTACAAGTTTGCAAGTGATCACAGTAGTTCTTAAAAAGCATGCTGTAGTGGGTTTCTGCTGCTGATAAGGTCTCAATTAAGTTTGCATTATGTTTCGGATTTTAATTTTCATCAAGATGACTCAGTGATAGTCCTGTGAATCTTCTTCTAACCTACAACTTGCTTCTTGTTTCTTCTCCTGCATGATTTGTTTGGAGCACCTGCTTGCACACTGACATGGAGGCTTGAGAGTAAGCTGTCATCATAGAACACAAAATACAAGCAGAACAGAAGCATTACATGCAGTCTTAATTACAAACCTCGAGAAACAGTCGTCTCTCAGTTTAATTCAGAGAATAGGATGTTGTTTTATGTCCATTGCAGTATGTATCTGTTTCTTGCAAGGTATGCAATATCGTACAGTACCAGTGTTTCGAGGTTGGCTCGATATGATATGATAACGGTGTACTGAGCGGTACATCAGGACATACCGAGTACTATAGCATTATAGCACTCCTATAGTATAACACTGTAGCATTGTAATATTATTATAGTATAATACTGTAATACTGTAGCGGTACCGGACGATCCACGTATCGGTATACCGTCAGACCAATATGTACTGTCCGTATCGGGTGGTATCATTCGATATTGCATACCATGGTTTCTTGTACTGCTTTGTTGGGTTGTCAGTGCATCTATTTTTAGTTTCACTGGAAGAGAAAACATCCCAAGGTGATGGAGGGTTTGGCAGATTTCAAGAGCACAGAAAAACAAGAGGCAGCATGCTTGATGATGTGGTAAGTTCATTTAATGATTTCAGTTTTTTATGACAGAATCGATTCAAGCAGCTTATGATCTGATTCTAAAGTTACTCTCGAACATCATTTCCAAAGAAGAGGATGAATGCACTTTGAAGCTGCAAACCTGAGATTCTTGTAGCATTTCATTGCATCAAAGAACATTTCCTTATTACAGCAACGAAGTAGTTGTCAAGTGAGTGTCTAATTGGTCACACGAAGAGCCTAAGTTGCCTCATGACCTGCCTGTGTACACACAGCCTAGCTCTGGAGACGAAGACTCTCAACCTCTTCAGCCTGAGTCCAATCCTTCGCTTCAATCTGCACACCTTGAGCTTAGAAGATGATCTCCTCCTCTGTTCACTCTCGGCTTTTTCCAATACCTTGCATATCAGGAACCTTGCTTTCAGGTGTCGCCTTTCTTCGGGGTCTTCGTTATCGATCCTCGAATAAGACTGGAGTGTCCTCAGGAATCCCATTTGAGGAGAGAACTGCAGAGGGAAGATTATGAGGACTATAATTGTGAACAAGCTTCTGCACTTATGGAGTTATATATAGACAACCACAAAGCTCATCATCTTCAGCTCAAGTAGCTGAGATATGATGAACCAACCAAGACCAGAAAGAGATGGGAAAAATGTAAATGGTGTGATGCAATTTTCCAAAAGAAAAATGATGTGAAGGACAAGGCATGCAAGTATGCGTCAGTTAATCTACATGAAGTCAACCAAGTTTCGAATAGGATATAGATTTTTGGGTTGGGGCAGCACTCCCTGAGACATGCCTACACTGCATGCATGTTTGCGAGGGGAGGATGACATTGTTTTTGACAACCTCACAGTGTCAAAGAGTCAGCTCAGTATAATACTAATTATTCACAGACTGGCATGCCAACTTAGGGAAGGTCATAACATACATTAACATATACTCAATAATGCATAGTTCATTATTTCCACTAGTGTTCTTGTAGTAACTCAGTGGAGCAGGCTGATGCAGCACAGTTGGCAACTTATTTCTTGGTAGTTGTAAGGGTTGAGGCTGTGACTGGGGATAAGTTGTTGTTTATTTGATGATTGCCTTTTTCTCATGCTGAATCTGCAACAGGAAACTAAGAATAATAATTCATGCAGCACCTATCTGAAGAGGTTTTATGTGGTGTATGTGACTGAAGTAGCAGTTTTCATAATAGAAGAGTTCATGTGGTTGATAAGGATTCATGAATTAGTAGTCCAAGTTGATGGTGAAGAAAACTATGAACTAAGCTTTCTCTGAGAAGTCACAAGCTACATTATAGAAGGGAAAACAGAACATATATTGTAAGAAATAGAAGTAATAAGCAAAGTTAGAGGATCCAAAATGGAACAAGTCTGTCAAAAAATAATAGAAGCAAAAGACATGAAGAATACCATTAATTTCCAGGTACACAATATTTCCTTTTAACCATATCTCCTTTTTTTTCTGTTTTATTTTTTTGTGTATGTGCTTTCATCCACTTCTTTTCTTGGGTCCACAAATTTGAGCAATGAAGTTATATTTTTCAGATTTTTCTTCCATTATATCGAACTGTATACAAGTCATTTTTACATGGACTTCAACCGAAAACCGATAAATTATGCAGTAGAACGAGAAACAAAGATCAATAATCATGAGAAGGAAGAGAAAAGAAAGAGTACTAAGATATTCTTTGGTAACATATTTCATGATCATAACTACACAAGGGAGGGAATATGAAGAAGATTAACTGCTAAGAAGACTGATAAGCATTTTCTGCAAGATCATGTGAAATTAAGGAGCATAATCACAGTGCTTAATTTGGAGATTTGGGTTTAAATCATCGTTTTCAAGGATCAATGACAATATGTCAAGAGTCTTGGAAGCCTGAAACCAAGCATTGTTCAGCAACAAAGCAAATGACAGTCATCACACAGGAGACCAAAATCTCAAATACAGCTGCAGCTATTAGAGACATGCAAGTATGTAAATGGAAGTATCACAGGATGAGAGAGAGAGAGAGAGAGAGGATGAAGGCATAGTTCTTCTAGCAAATGGAAACATCAAGCATTTGCTTCCAAATTTTGGCCACCAAAGGTCGGCAGAAGACAATGGTAGAATACAGTATAATAAGCAGCACCAATCTGTCATAATCTTTATTACATGTCTGAATGATGAAGGTCGTAAGATTGCATGCTGATTACGCCACTTACACCACAAGTCAGCATCTGAGTAATTTTGAAGCCACTCTGACACCATCACCACACCAAACACCCTCTTGTTTTCTTGACATTGTTGGGGTGTCTCTCCTAAACCATTCTAGCTAAACCTACATCTCTTTAAAGTTTACACCATGGCCCTAAAAAAAGGCCAAACAGAGAATGATAATGGTTGAAACACAGCATGTTGGAGGCAACAGAAAACAAATGAATCAAATTAACATGACATGTTGAAGGATAAGCTTTTAGAGCACATTCTAGGGTGCTCACAGAAGAACACGACAATTTCCTTGGTGCAATTGAGGTGTCCCTTAAGGGCATTCTTCCATGCCAAACACATCATGATTGACTACTCCTGGCTATCAGGCTTAACATCTTCTTCCATGCTGAAACAATCACCAGTGTGTCTTTCTTAATGATGGTCAGTTCAACAGCCTAAAGTAAACAAAACATCAACAGGCTGATTTAACCAACTAAATGATCACTTCCATAAATATTGTATGCTTCTCAAAAGATACAGCCACTTAATATGTAAGCATCCAGAAAAGGATGATACTGAAATTGAGATAGGTTTTTGGGTTGGCTTGAAAGTAAAAGTTTGACTTTATCAAAGAACAGTCCCAACAATCCTCACTAATTAGAAGCAGCAAACTGTTCAGAAACATCATAACAAGGACTTAAACTGGGTGTGATTCCCTAGACCGTACTAGAGTTAGATCAGGAAAACATGATTTCAAGGCAGCATTAGAGGGCAGCAATACACTCAATCTCAATCCTAGCATTCATCGGCAATGCTGCTACTTGGTAAGTGGAACGTGACGGTGCAGGAGATGGAAAATCTGCAAGAGAATGGAATATAAGATTGAACAAGTTTCTCTGTCCAAAAGAAAGAATATGAATAAGAGAAAAATATGCAATACATCGTTGCCTCATGACATTATACAAGCAAGAAAAGGAAAAGATAGAGAAGAATATTACTGTGTTTTTATCATAACCAGGGAAATACATTTTTAAACCTTATTTGCCTTTTTCAGCAGATGTTCAATAATTTACTGGTGATGGCATCATAATAGCTTGAAACAACTTAGTGTAGGATTTGTTCAAGAACATGGAAGATGTACAATAACTTACTGGTGATGGCATCATAATCTTCCAATATACATATGTATTGATGAAACATGCTAAACTGGCAAAGTAATATATGATTGTCAAAAAAAAAAGTAAAGTGATAACGGTTAGCATGATACTAGCAGAAATGCTATTGCAACCACTTCAAGACTTCACTAGCATAAACAGGAATAACTATTGTGAAAGGAATCAGATGGTTTAGCAAAAAAGGAGATTCTTTACTTAATCTAATGCCAACCGAAAATTGTGATTTTATCATGATAATTTGTGGATAACAGATCACGCAGAACAACTTGAAATGGAGTACAAAATAATAAATCTGGAACAAAGTCCCATGAATTTAATGAAAAATAATCCATGCAAAAGACAGCTATAGGCCATCAGAAACTCACATTTTGCATATATCTCATTTACTTTCTTGAAATCCTGTAGGTCTGCTAACCTGCAAGTACAAAGATTACAGGATCAAAAGATGATATCACAAACTTTCATCAATCAAGTTGATAAAAAGAATCCATTTCAGACATGATAGTTGTCTTGACAACAGAAGCATAGGTGGCACCGCTTGCTTTCAGTATCTCCCCCATGTTCTTTAGAACCTGCAATTTGATAGACATTTAAAAGCACAGAAGATAGGAGATGAAACTGTTTTAAGTGGAACCACAAAAGCATACCATAATCTGCAGAAAATGACTTGTCTTAATTTTTTTTTCAGAATCCAGATAAAGTAGGTTTAGTAGAATGCAGTACATTTATATACAGCAATCAACCAAAATGTCAGTCAAGTTCCAAAGATATTTTTCCAAAATAAGAAAAGATGGAACAGTTTGCTTACAAAGAAGATCCACAATTGAGATACCAGGTATAGAATGCGAAAGTCACATCATGATATATGAATGGTATAAATGATTATGTAACCAGCCATAGGCCTTCAGAGTATCAGAAAGTATTTTCACCATCCATTAAGCAGAGACATCAACATCTAAAGGAAATAATTTTCAGGTGAAAATTCAATTAAGCAGCAATCTCAACTAAAATTTTCTTCTCCCTAACCATCAAGCAGAGACATCAACATCTAAAGGAAATAATTTTCAGGTGAAAATTCAATTAAGCTGCAATCTCAACTAAAATTTTCTTCTCATTATCTAACCATCTTTATCTGCTCATTATTAAGAATGAAATTGGAAAATGATAATTGACAATCTATATATTTCTATTCATGTCTAACTCTAAAACATGATAGAAGTCTGAGAAAAACAATCTGTCAAATGACAAGTGTGAAAGGCTTTTTCTCCTCTTGAAAATTAACATAAAAATACCTGCACTTAGCACCCCATTTTAGAATTATATAATATGACCAAGATGATATATGATCAACGAACACAAAGATAAGCTGCATAGCTCAGCAGTCTACCATATTCATAAAGTGATAAGCAGGATTGAATGTCAGTAAATCATATTCGAATTAAGAAAACTCCAACGTAAAACTTATCCACTTGATTAAGCTAATAGAAATATTTTTTTAGGATATAAAGATCTCCAAAAAAAATTGAGAAAAAAAGAAAAATGAATTGAAGGAGGCCAAACTAAGGGCATGTGAGGATCAAACAAACAAATCTGTTTTACAATAATGACAAGAAAGATTCAATCGGACAAAAGTCTGCTAAGTAAATTACTGAACTACTATAAGATGTCAACAAGTGGAATAAATGCCATTATGGAAAGAAAAATTCAGATGAAATAGATTGATACTTGAGTGTTTCATCATAAAGCAATGAAGCACAGACACTTTAAAATGCTTGTGTCTGTATCAGATTCTCACATTTGTAGGACACTTTCCGACACATTTTAGGTATGCCAAAATACATAAGGACTCTTCTACCGTTGACACATCTTAATATACCATATGTAGGATGCTTATATCATCTATCCTCAGATAGAAATTCCAAATACATATCAAATTCATAACCAAAGAATCAAATTTTTTTTTTTAATTAGAAATATGCCCCCAACCAGATATGAAAAAACTAAGTGTAGTTTATACAAAACCACAATTTACTGTCGTATGATAATAGGAGAATGTTTCCAACATTGCACAAAAGATATCAACAGCTTTCTCTATTTTAACAAAAAGTTGCTGCTAGTAAACTCCAAATTGTTAGTTCATCATAAATTAAATTACCTGTTCTGTTTGCTCCTCAATGTGCTCAGAAACAAACTTTCCTGTCTGCAAAAAGAGGGGCAAATGATTATGACAGGAATAAGAAATGAGGAAGAAATGTTGCATGTGAGCCAATATGAACAAGAACTGAGGGTTAACAAATAGTAATTATAGCAAACCTCAGGAACAAGACCAAGAACACCAGAAACAAAAACAAGGTTGTTGGCTTTGATAGCTTGAGAATATGGTCCCAATGCTGCAGGTGCATTTTCTGTCTGAACAGCTTCCTTTTTAACTAATATAAAGAATTAAATCATCTTTAGTACTTCCCAAAATTAATCACACCAAGTTCACATGAATAATTACAGAGTGCTGAAAAGAAAATAAAGATGTTGCTAATACAATAGAAAATTTCATGTCAACAACATGCAAGAAAAATATCTGGCATGATTAATGGAACAACGAACTAATCACGCAGAATATATGAATTATTTCTCTTGGTTTTAGAACATAAGTACTTGTGATGTGACGAGGTTCAAAATGACAAACAAAACACAACATTTGATTCTTGTTTTCTCACTTATAGCATTATTTTCAGATTCATTTGACATTACTGGAAGGTTGCACTGAAATATGTTTCCTTGGATATTTCTTGTCAAAAATTTGGTTGAAAACAAAAAAAATGAACATCTTGATTCCAAAAACAATTTTTGCGACATGAGATTTCAGAATCATTACATCCATGATGATATTTACTTTTATATTCAGTTAACGAAAAAAATTATGGATTAGACCTTTTCTTAGCTGAATGTACAGATACCACCAAATTTCTAATGTCATGAGACTACTCCAGAAGATAAAATAGCACATAAAGGAAATAGAAGGGAAAGAACAAAAAGAAAAAAAAACTAAGTTCACTATGATTAGTAATGAAGGCAAGAACTCAAATTTACTAGATAAAGTAGCCAGCAAGAACCTATTTTTACCAGGTGAAGTAGCTAGATTAACTAAATTTAACATTTGGAGCCCACAGTGGTTTTAGAAAATATATTGTTGTGCATGAAGATGGTCTAAGGTCGGATGTCAACTCAAAGTACCATATAAAGCACCTCTGGTCCATATTTCCACTTTAACATATTTGAGTTGGTCTTAGTACGTTTCCCCATTTAGAGATGTCAGTGAACGATCACAAATCGAAACATACAATCATCCCATATGAACTATTACTATCAAGATACCATTTTTTATGTCAAAATGGGCGACTGAGATCCAAGTATGCTAAAAAACATCAATGCATGTGCAAAAATAGCAAGAAAAGACTACGAGAGAAATGAAATGGGGGTAAGAAGAGACGGAGAGGACACTAACCGGCGGCAGCGGCGGGCGAGGTGGAGGCAGAAGCGGAGATGGAGGCGAAGAAGGGCTTGGACGGGGGACAGGACCAGAAGCGGGAGACGGCGACAGAGGCGCAGCATAGCCCTGCGGCGATCGGCGTACTCGCACGGGCACGCAGCCCCCGGAAGTCGATCACCGGCGATCCAGCGGACCTTACAACGCTAAACGCCATCTCCGTCCTCTCCAATCCCGCACCATTCCAACACGACTAGGGTTAGACCGGCCTCGGGGTCCGGCTCACCTGTCTCAGCCGAGATACCATACTCAAGATGAGAGTTTGTCATTGGTTGCATTTCCGGGGCCCACAATTAATACATTCGAACGCTATCACTCATCACATATAAATAAAAATAAAAATAAAATTATAAAACTTAAAATTAAAAAAAATAAAATAAAATGTGAGAAAAAATTATGGTACGAATGAAAAGTTACTAAGAACTAAAAAGATGATGGAACAAATTTAATGTGTCAGGAAATAAAATGTAGAATCGCTTCAAATTTAATTCATATGCAAATATAAACAGGAAACTCGATTATAAATATAATAAATAACAATAAATATTTTAAATCCACTTAAAATAATTATAGATGCCATAGGTTTCTCCTAAAATAAATTGTACACTTGAATTTTTTGGTATATCGTGGACTTTATCGAAAATTAGATTTTAGTTATTGTACTTTTGTAGTCTTATGGACTCCAGTGAAAATTTAAGAACTTACAATGAAATTATAGATATGAGAAGATCTATACATCTCAGACATATTTGGCCTTGAGCCATTATTGTAGTAGATTTTTCTTTACATGGGTCAGATTTTCTTGACTGACATATCTAAGGCATATATAACCTTGTGCTTCTATCATAGTAGATTTTTCTTGACCCACGCACCTTAAGCACAATTTAACCCGAGCCTCTACTATAACGGATTTCTCTTCACATAAGTTGGGTCTTCCTGACTCATGTATCTTGAGCGTATTTGGCTTTATACCTTCGTCATAATGGATTTCACTTGGCACAGGTTTGATTTTTCACGACTCACATGCCTCGGGTGCTATTCGGCCCAAACCTCCATCATAGTGGATCTTCTAGTATGGGTCAGATCTTCTCAACTCATACATCTCTTCGGTGCAATCTCGAGGAGACGCTTGACTTAATCACAGAGGATGGCTCCATCGTAGGAGGGGAGAGTCTACTTTCCTCAATTGGTATTTATAATAGGAGGAGAGAGAGCGTATCTTCTTCACATCTTTCTTGATTTGTGCCACAACAGCGAAGAAGAGAAAGATCATTTATTCCTTATATCTTCCTCGATTAGCACCTCAATAGTGAGGGAGAGAGGGAGATTTGTGCCAATAGTGGGAGGAGAGAGGTCATCCCTTGTCTATAGACCTCTCTTGGCTTGTATAGTGAGGCTCATTCCATTGCTTGAGCCCTAACATTTTGGAAGTTTCCTCCTTGACTCTAACTTTGAAAGATGAGTCAATCCTTAGGTCATCCACCGTTTGGATATTGCACCTTAGGTTAGGATATCTCTTCCTCTTTAGTTCTTCTCAATTCATTGGTCACTAGTTGATCGAGGTCTATACCCTATCCTCCGATAGTTTAGGGGCAAAAGGGGTCCTGGCCCCTTCTCATTAGGGGGGTCACTTTAATAAACCCTAGTGTTCTCGGCAATGTTCCGGCGGACTCCTGGTAAGCTCTTGGACACGATGATCTTCTTGGCGAGTTTCGATGAGCTTCTCTAGCAAGCTCAGAGACTTCTCGATTGGTTCCGCCAGAACTTCCGACGAACTCTCGAACTCCCAACGAAATGACGTCTTTAACTCCGGGACTTCATTTTGCTTCATACCTTGCTATCGTAGTTAATCATGCACATGTAAAACATACATCGATCTAGATAATTAATACTAAGCATTAATCATGTTGTCCGGCATGTCATTGGTCCCTCGACACTTCGTCTGATTCTTCGACACATCGTCCTCTCTTATGGCTTATTGCCCAATCGGCCAGTTGACTCTGCAACTCCCATATCCATGGCATAATATTCGCTCTTTTTGGTCTGATGCCTAAATGAAGCCTTCTGTCGTACGTCGATCGATCCTCTGATTCGACATCCAATCTTCTGACATGATCTTTCGGCGATCTTTCGATGAACTTCCGATGATCCTCTAGACCTCGATCAACTAGTTTCTTCCGGTGAGCTTCTGGCGATCAACTGGTTTCTTCTAAATCCATTGGTCACCAGTTGATCGTGGTCTATACCCTATCCTCCGATAGTTTAGGGGCGAAAGGGGTCCTGGCCCCTCCTCGTTAAGAGGGTAACTTTAATAACTTTAATGACATGCATATGTCATTATCAACTAGTAAGCTCGAGAAAATGATGACATTCAAGTAGAGGTCAAGAAGTTAAGGAGGGTTAGAGTTGACCCTTCTGCCACTATTATTACTGAGGTGGAGGCTCGGGGGTCAAGCTAGCATAGAAGGTAGAGGAAGACAAGCGAGGGTTTGCCACCCTTGTTAAATAGCTAGAGGATGTCCGGGGCAGTAATCGGGTCATGGAGGATGAGCTGTTGGGTCTTGTCCGAGAACCGGACTCGACGAAGGCACACATGTTAGAACTCGAGAGAAAGGCTACTACGATAAAGGAGCAACCTCAAGAGTTGGGAGAGACATTAGAGGCTAAGCGAGGTAAAGTGTTGAGGCATCTGGAAGAGGCAATCGCTGATTACAAGGTGTCTATAAGGTTTGGAAAGGGGCTAGAGAGGTCAAAGATTGCCTCGTACAAGTTTGGATACCTGATCGCCTTAGCCCACTTCAAAGCGAGGTATCCCGAGTTGGAACTTTAAGAGAATTCATTCACCGACTATCCATAGGACCAAAATATTTATATGGAAAGCAAGGTGCTTTTTGGTGATAACCTTGACTCGCCTCCTCCTTCAGACGCATGATCCACTACCCAACTTCTTTTGAAGTTGTGATGTTGATTCTTGGTTCTCTTTCTTTTTTGATAGATTGGTATCTTACTTTGGTTTTAGAGATCTGATTTGTTTAATGCAATGCCACTTAGAGTAATGAAGTAGCGCCTTCCCTTTGTTTAGCGCTCAGTATTAGTATGTCAGGGATATATTTTATAAGTTTGAAGTATACCTTGATTAGACCTCGAAAGGGGCCTTAAGGATAAAACTTCTTCAAGTTTAAAATGTGTCATGTTCTTGGTAATGCCATACTTTTTGTTGTCCCAAGGTGATATGTCTCATCTCGGACGACTTCGATAACTTAGTTGATCTTTCCTAGTTTTGTGCTAGCTTTTCTCGGGATCAAGTCAAGTTACTTATCTTAACCTTGCATAGCACTAGGTCTCTTAGTTGAATTTCTCAAGGGCGGATATCTCAATCATATAGCATGGCCACCACCTTTTTATGCCTCATCATTCATAGGTGTGTAGTTGCTCGGGTCTCACTGACTAGGTTGAGTCCAGCTCGAAGTCCTGCCTCGGAGGCTTCCTCATCGAAGTTCTCAATACGAGGTGTCAGGAAGACTAACTCAGGTGGTAAGATAATCTCAGTACCGAAGGCTAAGCCGAATGATGATTCTTCAAACCTAGTCTTATGTGTCGTCTAGATTGCCCATAGGATGCTCGACAACTCATCTACCAAGATACCCTTTGATATGACAACTTACTTTATGAAACCCTCAAAGATGGTTCAGTTTGTGACCTTAACAAGACTGTTGGTTTAAGAATGAGCCACCAAGCTGAATCTTAGTTATATCATGTAGGACTGGTAAAACTCCCTGAACTTTGGGTTGTTGAATTGAGTCTTGTTATCGATGATGAGGGCCTTCAGGATCCTGAAGTAGGTGATGATATTCTTCCATACAAATCCCTCGACTTGTTTCTTAGTTATCAATGCTAGTGGCTCGGCTTCTACCCACTTTGTGAAATAATCTACCCCCATGATAAGGAACATTCGTTAGCCCAAATCCAACAGGAAGGGCCCGAGAAGGTCCATACCCCATTGGGCGAATGATCACCCGCAATCGATCAAGTTCATAGGGATTGTCGATTGACGTGGTATCCAAGCAAATTCTTGGCACTTGTGGCACTTTTGGGCATAACCAATCATATCTTTGCATAGTATTGGCCAATAGAACATTTGTTGAATTATCTTGAAGGTGAGAGTTCGTTCGTTAATGTATTATTTGTAGATACCTTCATGCACTTTGGCAAGCACCTTCTTGGCTTCTTGGGGAGTCAAGCATTTGAGGAGCAGTTAACTGAAGGACTTATGATACAGGCAATCATTAATTAGGCAAATTGGGCTAGCATATCCCCTTGGATATTTTCTTCACGGGGAACTTAAAACACATAGAGTCAAGAGAAGCTGTGAGCTAATCTTTGCACCTCAGCGATGTACTTTGCCATGGTCACATCTCGGGTCGATCGAAGACCTGAGAGAGTGCCTCATATTTGGCTTCATTATTAGATATTTTAAACTCAAATTAGAGGGCTTGCTTATACACCTACTAGTTCGAGCCCTTTAAGATGAGATCATCATTGTCCCTCTCCAAGGTGGCTGAGCCTTTGATAAATAATGTCCATGTTTGGGGGTATGGTTATCATTTTCAAGCAGGGAAGTTAGCTTCGAGATAAAATCTGCTAAGGCCTAGGCTTTTATGGCGGTCTTTAGCATATATCATATGTCGAACTCGCTTAGCTCTATGAATAAATTCAACAATTGCCCCGAGACGTCAAACCAATACAAAACCTATTTTAGTGGCTGGTCGGTAATGACCTATATGATATACACTTGAAAGTATATGCGAAGTTTTCTCGCTATGAGCACTAGTGCAAATGCTAGTCACTTTATAGGTGGGTATTGTTCTTTGGGTCTGCTCAGGACGTGGTTGACATAATAAATAGGCTTATGAACTCCCATATCATTATGGATTAGCATGAAGTTGATAGGTAGGTTAGCGACAGCAAGATAGAGACTGAGAATTTCTCATGAGACTGAGGTGAGTTGCAGTAGTTGAGCGAGATGACTCTTTAGTCACTTGAAAGCCTCTTGACACTCTCGGGTCCATAAGAAACCATTCAAGTTCTTTAGGACTCCAAAGAAGAGCAAGCACTTATTGCTTAATCAGGATAGGAACCGGCTTAGTGCCACCATTCGTCCGGTTAGCTATTGGACTTCTTTGACCAACTAGGGTTGGCCCATCTCTAAAATGGCTTGTACCTTTTTAGGGTTTGCATCTATCCCCCTCTGGTGCATGATGAACCCGAGGTACTTATTGAGCTGACTTCAAAAGCATAGTTGATTGGATTAAGATGTATGTTGTACCTCTTTAAGAATTGAAAATATTCAGCCAGGTCTAACAAATGTGAGTTGGCCATTATATTCTTGACTATCATGTCATCTACATATATATCGACATTCTTCTTGATCTAATGCTTGAACATTTTATTTACCATCCTTTGGTATGTTGGCCTTACATTCTTCAACCCAAATGTCATGACTCGATAGTAGCACATGCTTCGGTCGATGATAAAGGACATGTGTTCTCGATCTTCTAGTGTCATCCTTATCTGTTATATCCTAAGAATGCATTTATAAAAGTGAGGAGTTTGTGACCTAAGGTAGCATCTACTAATTGAGCAATCCAAGGGAGTGAATGGCTATCTTTCGAACCACTATGGGTACTACACCTTGGCAATAAACTTTGTTCCTAATAACTTGTTGACTTTGTTGCTAATTGCCTATTGGTGGGAGCAAACTTACAGGGCTTTTGTTTGATTGGTCATGTCTCAAGGGAGATGTTCAGGTAATGCTGAGCGACATCCGAATCGATTCTCAACATATCTCTTGGCGACCATGCAAACATCTCAGTGTTTTTCTTAAGGAAGCTGATAAGTTGTAATTGCTTCTCGTTGGGTAACACTGCCTCAAACTTGACAACTTGATCCGAACGGACCTTGTTCATGGGTGTTTCAATCAATGGCTATATCGGTTTCGATTATGGAAGGGACTTGGTGGAATCTTGAGGGTTCACAGGTGGTATCTTGAATCGAGCCTTCTTTGGTAGGGAGACTACTATGAGATAGCATCGTTGGGACTCCCTTGGGTTACTCCTTAATTCTCCAAAGCTGGTACTAGTCGAAAACTTTATCATCATGTGATAGGTCGACGCTACTGCTTATAGGCTATTCAACGTGTGTCAAGCTATAATGACGTTGTATGCTGAGGGGATGTTGACCATCATGAACTTGGTCATAACTGTTTTGGAGCATGCTTCATCTTCGAATGTGATGTGAAGGTGCACAGTCTCAAGAGGAGAGATTGAGTCACCCGTGAATCACATCAATGAAGAAGCCATATGGGTGAGGTCATTAGTCAAGAACCTAAGTTTTTGAAAGGCATCAAAGTAGAGAATGTCAGCAAAGCTATTTTTATCGATCATGACCCTCTTGACCCAAGCGCTGACCATTCTCATGAAGATCATCAAGGCGTAGTTGTGATTCAGATCGCTTTCATGATAGAAGATAAGATTTCCCCAACTTAATAGAATCATGATAGAAGATAAGATTTCCCCAACTTGATAGAAGATAAGATTTCCCCAACTTGATGAGGAAATCTCTCTATTCTGTTTATTCTGTTGAGGGAAATCCTTCTTCCTAATCTGTATAAATAGGAGAGGGAACATGTTAATATATTCAAGTTAAAGCTATTTTATTTCTACAATAAAGTTTCTTCTTCAATTATTGTTCTTATCTTCTATTATTTTCATCACTTCATCTCTCCCTATCTGAAAGTTATTTCCTAGTTGCTTTGGGTCCTAAGGCACTTCCCAATAGTGGCTTAGGACATAAGGTTTGTGACCTGAGGTGCTGTCTCCTCCCAAGGTTACTTCGTCGACAATAATGTCGATCTATCTTTCAATTGACCCTTGAAGTCGAGGTGATGACTCCCGATATCTTTGGATGAATCGTTCCACATGCCCTTGTTGTATGAACTCCTCAATTTGTCCCTTCATAATATGTTCCTCTAAGTCAGATTTGGATGAGATTTTAAACCATAAACATAACAAGTCTAGTACACCATCACTAGTTTAAGGTTTAAATATATTGGATGAGATTTTTCGAACCATCAACTTACAAGTATAATACTTTTGGCTTCAAATTGGCCATGCAATAAATCTCATTGCAACAATACTTGGAACACAGTTCAAGAATACGTGATGCATGGTGGCAGAACTCATAGCTCAAATACAATGATACAACAAGAGATGCCATAACACGAAGAGAAGATCCACAGCTATCAATTTAGATGTGCCACAGCTCTCGTCGATGCTTTTCCTCGGAGTCTTCTAATGGCTGGTGCGAACTTGTCACCCTCTCGTGACAATGCTTCGTTCTTCTGGCTGGATCAGAGCGGCCTCGTCCTGCGCCCCGACGCCCGGCCGCAGAGGAGGGCGTTCCTCGGGATGGGATTCTCATCCCTCCATGAGTTGGCCGGAGAGTACACTCGGAGGTAGAACTGCTGCCCCAAGTACTGGCGAGCCCAGTTCTCGGACCTGATGTTCCACATTCCTACGTTGTCCAAAGGCATGTAGATTGCAGACCATGACTTGGGGTACACCTGAAGAAGAAGAAAGACATGAATGCATCAGTAAAGTAGACATCAGGCATGAGAGAGACCAATCGAATTGGTTTAAGAAGATGAAACAGCGGTAAGATCAAATGCAATCACCTGAACTGTGCAACGAGCCACTGCATCCCTCAGGTTGTAACCCTCCCTGCTTGCCGAAGTCCATTGCCCTCCATCCATTCTGTAAGTTGCAGCAAGTCACAATTGATTACAAGAACACAAGAAGCAAATCCATGCAGTGCGGCAGCAGTTCTCACCCTACAACCCAGAAGGAATACCCATCGATATGCCATGATTGCAAGGTGTCCTCCGAGTTCTCGAAGATGATCTCGACGTAGTCTCTGAAATTAGCCGCCATGACCGAGGTCTGGAGATAACCAGCTCCGTAGGTCGGGTTGTCCGGCATGCTTCCGAGCGAGAAGACGCCGGGGATGTTGTAGAAGTCGGCCACTTTTAGTGGAGTGTCAGCTGGGATGAAGGAGACGCTGTTGACAGCGTATCTTTGCTTGCCATTGATGACAGGAGCAGAGCTTGCGAGCCTGATGGTTCTTGTGGTGTTCACGAGACCATAGTGATATGAGCCTTGCGGATTCGGTCTCGGGCCACTCGCTGTCAGATTCCATCTGTGGTTCATTGAGAGAGATCGGTCAGTAAAATGTCGAACAGTTTCAGCAGAGTGAGGAAGAGGATACCGAATAGATCGCGCCTGGTTGAGGGACCAGTCGATCTGAATCGTCGGCCCTCCAGGCGGCGGACCGACGGGCTGCCCGCCAGAGTTGCTGTAGTGGAGGACGGCGGTGGTTGACAGCACGGTGCTCGTGAACCGGGACGAAACCACGATGTAGTAGTCCATGGGTGGTTGATCTGCCGTGACGAGGAACGAGCAAGACTGGCCCAAATGGAGATCGAAGGAGGAGTAGGTGTTCTGCAGGGTGTGTGAGCCTTCCACCTCCACCAGCAGCATCGCATGGCCTTGAATCCTCACGTTCAACGACGTCGCCAACCCCACATTCGACACCCGAAACCGATACGTTTTGCCTAAACATCAAGAAATCATGCGTCAAGAACACCATCTCGCCGGTGTCAACTTCGACCAAGAATCGAGAAGCACCTTGTTCGACAGTGAAGGTGTTCCCATACTGTCCTCTGCCATTGATCAGAATGCCATCAGGGAAGGGAAGATCTCTGCCACTGTCCAGTATATATCTCAGGTCCTGCGAAAGATCAAAAGCTTCATGATTACTGAACAGCAATTGAAGGTTCTATCTTTAGCTTGCGGTGAGGGGGTGCGTACAGTGTGGTTGGCCTTGTACCAGGCACCGATCAACAGAGTGTAATCAGCTGCAGGAGGAGGGAAAGGCACCGGGATCAGCGGGCGGCTTAGAACTCTGATGCCACCAAATCCACCGGCAGCCTTGTGGAAGGCCAGCGAGGGGAAGTAGAAGTAGCTGCCGATCTGGTCCTTCACTTGCATGACGTACGTAAAGTTCCCACCAGGGGGAATGGGGCAGTTGGTGCCATAAACACCATCTTGCCATGAGTTCCTTCTCTGCTGTACCCCATTCCTGCGAGAAAGTACTTAGTAAGCCATGCATCATTACCAGTGCCACAGAGAGTCACAATGCAAACTTAGGATCCATCATGTTCAGTAATGCAAGATCTGTAGATGTTTTATATGACTGTTTCACTTCTTTCCTCCTCTGTGTTCAACAAGTGATCTGTTTCCTACTGTCAGAATTGGGCAGCAGACAACCTTTCTGCGACGGCATCTGACATTAGATCTACATTGTCAAAGAGATCTAAAGGTTCCTCTAAAGCATCAGATTTTGATCCTATCTCCTTCAAAAAAAGAACCATCGTTCCCTGTCTGGTTCAAAGCAAAAGGTAAAAAGAACAAGACAACAGATCAACAAGCAGCACCAAGACCCACTGTCATCAAAGGCCAATGGAGCATCAGATGCCTTATTATAATATTGCTAAAAGACCCACCAAAAAGGAGAAAGAAACGAAGAAATATATCTCACTAGGAATTAATCTTCCCTAAATATGTAGATGGAATCAATGGGTAACTTCATAGTGCAAGCATAAACAAAAAGACGGAGAAAAGCATGAAGGTAAAAGGTAAGAACAAACACAAGGCATAAATGAACAGGGCAAAAAGATCAGGACTGATGAGGAAGCAGTAATGACCAGGAGAGGAGGAAAGGCTCCGGCAAGCTATTGAAGACATTGATGATAAGGTTGTCATTGGTGACGGCCTCGATCTGTGGTCCTGGGAACTGGCCATTGATCAAAATCCCCTGCGTTGTTCCAACAAGCGAGAGAAGAGTAGGCTCTTTGAGCTTCCAAAGAAGAGCATGAAGAAACAAGAAGGAAACAACAGAAGAGAGTGAGACAGACCTGTTGCTTGACTCCCATGGGCCAGATATCGCCATAGGTCACATTCCAGGTGAAGAACCTGTAAGGGTCATCCCCCAAGACACAGTAAGGCAGCAAGAGCAGCAGCAGCGGGAGGAAAGAGGCCAAGAGGCTACTCTTCTCCATCCTCCAAACCTCTTCACAAATGCTAGGTTAACTTCGGATCCATGACCTTAATATAGAAGTGGCACAGAAGTAAGGAAGAGAGTGAGAGAGGGAACTGTTCTCCATCTATCTGTCAATGGGGTCCCTCCTCCTGTAGGTTTTTTAGAGAGTTGTATGACATGAGCTGTGTAAGACGTAAAAAATCATTCTTACTTGGTGCAGGATTATGTCACCTTCCTTGATTGAGGTAAAACCACATTGAAATCTTCCTTATAGATTGACTTAGCGTGAAAGACTCTTCACTCATGTTCTTATTGCTGCTTCCCAGAAAGCACGCAGATTCCTGACTTCATCTTGTATAGCTGTACTGACAGTACCTGCCATCAACATCTAGAGAGCTGTCCCCAGTTTGAAATGGCCATTGGCATCCATTATGATTTTCCTGTGGCATTAAATTATTATCCTCCTCAATTCTTGAAACCTTCTTTTAACATTGGCTCTTCTGCTCCAACCTATCAGTCTGATCTGTGGAAAGTGTTGGATAAAACAGAGCCCATAGACATGCATGTGGAAAACAGAGGTCTCATTACTGCATCAAACCTTATAATACCATGTCGGTGGGATTAGACATATGTACCTTGAAAACCGCATTAAATAGTTCTTCCTTCTTCTCTTCTATTTACAGGACAAGAGAGATAAAAAAAGTACACATCACAGTAAATAGAAAACTTGGAGAGGGAGACCACTGATGCCTCAAACCACACTACTTCTTGGAGCTTTCTTGCCCAAGCGAGCATTTTTTAACCAACCAAGATGGATTGTGACAATGTTTGGTGGATCAAATGCAGGCAACAAATGTGGGGTATTGGCATCAGATCATGCATTGTCCTTGCAGAATGCATGAGAACTGCTCGCCTGCTCTGCAACTTTTGTATCAATCTAGCTTTTTGTAAAGCTGCTTCCTCAAGCTTGTGCAGCAATTTTATACAAAAACATTGATCCCATTTGGTGAGTCTCAGCTCCCAGCTATGGAAGTGTCTAAATTAAACCAAGTCTTCATCTGTCACAGCTTGGTATCCTCTGCTGTGCTGCAACTCTTCTCAAATCATATATCCAAACTGTTACTCAAAGAAAAATATTCTTTATCTTATTAAACGGATTTGATATTTATCTTTAGATCTGTGACAAGCTTTCTTGGAGCTTTAATTATCCAACCAAGCGAGCATAGACCATTGCCGACACTTCACAAACTGGCTGAATTCCTCCGCATTAAAAGGAGAGAATTATATGATCTCGGCACTTTCTACGGCTTTTACATAAAAGATTCTGTCCTTATCTTTTGTCCTTTTTATTTTTCCATAAATTAATTCAAGTTCCTCGATTCATTCCTGAATCAATCATCCCATCTTTCTTTCTCATCTTTGACTGAGCTCCCCATTTGCATTCCACCATCCTGATTTTAGAATCGATTATTTTAATTCTTAAAATTTAGAAATTCAAATCGAATTATATACGGCTAAATTCATTATTGGATCAATTAATAAACCAAATTAGTTAAGTACACCACCTGACTAAATTCATTAATTTGATATTTTTAATCCTATATTTTCACGTTTATTTACCTAATATTCATAAATATTTTTATCTTTTGGAAAAAAAACTTGTTAAAGCGGAATATTCTTTTTCCTCTTTATGTATCAAAATGAGTTTCTCATCAAAATACCAACTTGATATCCAAATAAAAATATCAACCAGCACAACATAAATAATAGAGCAAAAAAGCAATCACAAAGTAAGACCAAATCTTTTTAACGTGAAAAACCCAATGTAAGAAAAACCACGGGACCGTAATCCACCTCAAACTTCCACTATCAATAATAATGATAACTAGATGATCATAATAACATCAAGAACATAGATCTTGACTCTAGCATATCTTCGTCACATTTGGTGGATCTCATCGTAAGAGAATTTTAGGTCTCACAAAGTGGATATAGCAGGAAAGTACCTCAGAGAGGATAAAATATAGATCAACATCGTTAGAATTATAGAGCTTACTACAAAGATTTTTCATATAAAATTTGGATCAAAACTGACGACATTTGACCACCGATCGTCAAACAGAAATCTCAAAAATCTTACTTTCTCTCTCCTCTTTTCTCTGCACACGTGCGCACACGCACGCTGCACGCTGCACCCTTGTTGTATCCTAACGCTGCACACATCACAACCCTATCTCTCTCTCGCTCTTTTTTTAATTTCTTTGATTTGGGCTCAAACGGCCCAATTTATCGAAGCCCGGGCTGGACCCAACATTATCCTGTTGTCATTAATATTTATTTTGATTTATCGGTGTCGGAGTTTATATCAGCCGATACGGACACGTTTTTCGTATCGGAGTCGTTTCCGATACGGTTGCAACAGACGTCTCGAAACGCGATCGTCTTGCACGTGCCAAAGCTATCCTATATAAACCCACTCCTCGCCTTCCCGCCCACTCGGTCTCGCTTTCACCCGATCAACGGATCCATCGGCGAATGGAGACGGAGGAGGAAGTCGCCGAGACGGCGGAGGAGTCGCAGGTGAATCCCTCCACAGCGCCATTCGTCGATTTGTTTCACATCCCATCCATGCTTCGATCTCTCTTTAGACTCGCAATTCCTCTCGGTTTTCCTATCAATGTGAAGTTTTATTGATATTTGGTGATCGATAGAAGAATAAAACCTATTTTTTTCTTCTTGTTCTTATTTGGGGAAACTGAACTGATAGATAATAAGGTTTTCCTTGTTTGATTTTCCATTTGTTTCACCTCTTTCTTCAATTGAGACCCACTACTTCCATTCACCAAGCAGCCTTCTTGCTCTTTGGTGAAATAGGCTTCTGCAAACCTATCTGAGCGTAGAAATCACTTTATATTTCACCATGGTGTTTCCAATAATATACTTTCTATTCAACTAATTGCTTCATATGTGTCAATAAAGTTTCATGATTAATGTTTTATCAACATGCCCATACTTGAAAATCTTGGGTTACCTTTGTTTTGCTATACACACTTATTATGCATAATAACTGGTAAGCAAATATTTGAATAAGTTTGGTTCAAGATCTACATCATCCGCCTATATCAATTGTTTCCGACTTATCTCCTAAGATGAGGAATTTCGTATCACTTTATTTTGCTAAAATTCTTTCTAAGAACATAAATCTATATTGGATTAGTTAATTTTATCTAATTAATTTTTTAAAGCATGCTCACCTAGTTTTGTAGTTCTTCAGTTAATATTCTGTATAAACTATTCCAACCTTGTCACATCTTCAGACATTTCCAATTAATCTCTTTGTCTGCATTGACTTTATGATTTGTGATTGTCAATAGTTTTGTTATGAATAATTAATTCTAGAAGGTTCAAAACATGGTTTAAGCCATTGTAATCATATTACCCTGTATTGGACTGCAAGTGTCAAGCTGGTCATATTTCATTACTGATATATGCTGGTGTTATATGGTATCTGCTGGTTGATGTAGTTTTGTCAGTTTAGGTTTGGCAGTCCAGGGTCTATATTGGACTGCTTCGGACAGAGATGAATCAGCTTTGCTGTTCATGCCTGACGGATTCTTGTCCTGACTTCATTGTGAGAAGTAAGCAATGTAGCTCCGGGTGTGAACAGTGAAAAGGATTATTACTCTTACCCCTGTTCCCATTTGCTAAATCTCCTGCTCCTAACTCTAAAATTAAAATAGAGTTAACGTGACAATGTATGTGCAAGTTACCACGCTCAAGACACCTGTTTTTACAATAGTTGAACCACCATTATGTAGTGACAATGAAATCCTTGATTAGAGTTTCGTTTTTAAAGTTGTTAAACATTGCAAGCTAATATTTTTGTTTGGAATCACACCAATTCTAATCATAGGTAACGATAGTACCGTCATCTGCTGTATATCTGATATAAAGCATGAAGTAGATGGTTGATTCTTTTTCAAATCCTTTCAACTGAGAATATAAAGAGGATGGGTGTGCCTTATAATATCAAAATTTTCTTCTGGATTTTGAACAAGGGCACCCTTTATATCAAGGATCATCTCATCAGAAAAGGGGTAAATGTCCAATCTTGTTGTGTACTCTGTGACTCTCATAATGAAGGCCTTTAACATGTTCTCTATGCTTGTTATTTGTTATTTCACATTAGTATCCTGGACACATTGTTTGTTATGTTGATGCACACGCGGAACTGAGTCATGGATCTATTTGTAGTAGCTCTAGGCTTCAAGATACATTAGTGTATTGTTTTCATTAAGGATCTATCTATTGCATTTTGAGCAAGAAACTGGACAGCTGTCTTTTGGTTTAAGTTATACATTCATTTGAAATAACAAATTTAGATGAAAGTTGAAGGTATCTTAGTATGCCATATTTTCTTTTCTTCAGATCTCATTTCTAATTGTACATGATGCTTCATTTTGGGACTGGCTGACGAGGTTGTTGAAACTTGAAAGAGCAGCTTATATTCGGGAAATGGAAAGTCTGAAAGGCCAATTGATTGCTCTGTGAACCAGACATTATCAGACTGTCTGAATTGTTTGCAGGATGTGGTGGCTATTGTTGGCTATTGATGCTTAGAGAGGTGATCTAAACACACGTTTTCAATGACATCTTTCCCTCAAAATCATAGTATATGTTCAGCAAATGAAATTTTAGTGCCACAAACAACTAATTGCACATTTGATCACAAATATATCTCTGTAACCTTTACATATCTAACCCTATCACATTCTAAAATGCACTCAAGTTTAGTTCTTTCCATGTGAGACCATCTAAACCAATCTAAATTAGTCTGATGGTTTGTAAAGGAAAATGTAAATTCTTGTGTCCAAATATTTTGCAGTTGTTCATATTGCACTCATTCCTTGTGCTTGCTTGCTTTTGTATTGCTGAGGGGTGAAGCTAAGATTTATCAGCTTGCATCTTGTAGCTAGTAGTGCCATAATGTCTAAAGCGAAGACTGCAGCATTTTTACAGTATGCACACTAACCTCGAGATTGGAGTGCTTGCAACAAAGTGTGCATACTAAGTAGATTCAAGCACAGTGGCATGCTTAGAGGAAA